ATTGAGACCCTGATGATCCCATGAAGTGGCGCACCCGGGTGAATCCTGAATGTCACGTGTCGAAAAGAATCATGAATCACGGCCAACCACCCAAACATATGATTTTCCATTATGTTTCAATAATCAATATTCAATAAAGAAAGGTTCACGCGACCTAGTTAGGTTCCTCGTGGTGGAACCTGTCCACCTGGGTTTAAGTCCTCGACTTGGCATGGGTGCTAATATTTTCCTGAATTTATTTCAGAATTTAACGACTATACTTTCAGTGGCAGGCGATGTCCTCGTCGACAGCGAGGCGCCAGTGGTGACTTCGTGAATCTCGAGATCTGCTGGCTCGGTTCTTCGGAGGTGCTAATAGGGGTAGGGTTTACGTACGTGTGATCATATGGGTGAGTGTACGTGCGTGTTGTGGATGTTTGCGTTGTACTATGTAATTCTAAAAAAACAAAAGGTTTACTGTATATTCTGAATTACATCATTAATAAAACTAGTACAGATATAGCAGTGATCTTTCATTTTGGGATTGGGTAATTTATTGGCGATACTTAAGACAAATTTTCTCAAGATCATTTCAGGGACGGACAGCTTCCCTCAATATCATAAAAAGCAAGTATTGTCACCCTCCGTATTAATTCTCGCAAAATACGTTAAAAAATAAATCATAAAACTTCTCATAAAAATAAAAAGACAACCCTGTTTGGTTGGGCTTTTGGATGTAGCTTTTGCCTCCAAAAGCCAAAAGCTCAACCAAAGGGCCCAAAAGACATATGTACTTTTGCTCAAAAGTAGCTTTTAGTGTAGTACAAATCTAAAAGCATCTCTCCATTTGCTTTCACTAGCTTTTGGGGGAAAAATTACCCACCTGCCACTGGTTATGAAGATACCGATTCGTTTTTTTTCTTCTATTCGGGTCCATAACGTATCACGAGGAAAGAAGCTCTCGCCTCCAGCCGGCTCGCATGGCGGCGCCCTCTACGCCCGGCCAACAGCTCTATAACACCACAGCCCATTAGTAGCCTGTAGTAGCTGTGAAGTTGGCCCATGTAGCCCAAGTGGCACATATATGGTTGTAGTTAGTGGGTTTAGTATCATCTTAGAAGTTTAGGAGGGTGAGGGCCAGCTTATAAGCCTTGTCGTTCCAAACGTAGTACCTACAGGTTAACCCTTTTACACGAAGCGAGGGCAAAAGTGTAAGAGAGGTGCTACGCGTATGCAGGCCCATGCCCGTTCTACGTGCGGAGCTGGGCCATATAAGCATATTTTGGACGCAGGGTGTTACAAGCTCCTCTCCGACGGGTTCGCATGGAGGCGGTGGCCCTCTCTTCCTCTTGGCACTGGGGGGCTATGAGGCGGGGGCGGCCCTAGGGGCTCCCTTGCCAAAGGCGAAGCTCTAGGGCCAGTCTGCCTCGCCGGTGGAGAGCACCTCGGCGCCCTGGCCGGGCCTCGCCGGGGGAGAGCACCGGATGTGGAGCAACGCAGATCTGTGTACTGTCAAGAGGAAGAAGAAGATCCTAGCGAATGGGGTCCACTCGTGAAAGAGAGAGGGGGTTGAGTAGGGAGGCATGTGGAAGACATGTGGTGTCTGCTTCTAAGTGAGAGAGACTGACAACTATTTTTACAAAAGCCACAACTACTGATGAACCAAACAGCTTTTGGCTTTCTCACAGTCGTCGACATCTCACAGCAGTTTTTTCAAAAGTCACAGCTCACAATAACTTTTTCAAAAACCACGACTCAACCAAACAGGGCCTAGGTCTATTTTGTTTTTTTTTTCTAAAAATACTACTCACCTTGGCCGTTTTAAAATTACTTTAAAGTAACAATCCTCTAAATCTTAATCTAAATAATTCACCACTGTCATTATGTAAAATAACTTAGTAACCCCTTAGTTTTCATCTAAATTACTCATATATGCCAATACGAAAACTAATAAAAAGTAACTCACCGAAATTTGCATCTAATTTCCACCACCCATATATGTATATGTATAAAGCAATGAGTATGTTGATTTTTGAGCTAAATACATAGCTAAGCACACGTGAATGTTGTATGCAAAGATGGAAAATATGAATAAGGGGTGAAAAAGTATATAATATAATTAGTAACTAAAGTCAATCATAAGCGGATAATATTCGAAATATGATTCAAGTATGCTATTAGAATGCAGACACATGAAAGACTATTAATTGAACACACGTCAAACACACATGGATGTGTGATGCAAATAAAAAACCATGAACAATGATCGAAAAGTAGAATATGAACAAATCAGAGATATTTTCAATTAAACATATGTGAACGCATACTGAGGTGCGATGCAAAGTGGACAACTACAAACCATATGCAAAGCAATCAGGGGCGGATCCAGGCCCTGGGCTAGGGGGGCTGCAGCCTGGGGCGGAGCCCAAATTTCCTACAGGCAGGTCTTCTGCCGCCAATAGGAATCCCTTACGTTCAGCCCAACATAGCCCCTCCGGCAGCCAGCCCAAGCAACCCTTTACTAATTAGCCCTCGCCGGATGGTGTTTCTAGATCCGCCCCTGAAAGCAATTGGTAACTAAAATCTATCACAACCAGATATTGATAAGAAAATACCTAGATGAATATTGTGCTACAATATGAACAATATAGAGACAACAAAGACAAGCTATAACAACAGCTTGCACCAAAAACCCACACGTTGGCATTGAGAATACAGGGTTCAGATCACACATACATGATGATCACTTTATTTAAGAAATTAGAGTTCAAACGTTCTCATGATTATTTTCAAGGAAAATATATCATCCTTGTTTTTCAAGCAAATACACAACTCATCTCAGAAAAAATGGAAAAGTATAGTTCACATACAAACTCTCATGGTTGTTTTCAAGGAAATACATGCCCATGTCATAAAAAATACACTTCACATAAAATCTACAAGATCACTTTCGAGGAAATAAATAAACCTTCTTATAAAAATAGAGACAAATATTGTTCACACTTGTGGTTCATCTGCCTCTTCAATGTGATTTTAGAGTAAGAAACACAAATATGACAAGCTCTCCGAATGCTTGTAATCATCTTGCTCAATGGGACCACTCTTCAGTGCTTAAACAACTCACATTTACCTGAAATGTTGATTTGCATATATAGTAAATAAGTTGAAATGCAAATGATGGAGCAACCATGTAAAGGAAAATGTAACCGCAGAATTTCTTCAAGCAGAGCATAATGAGATAAGGTGGTTTTGCCAAGGAATACACCTAATCCAAAACAATTCAATCTAGAAAAAGCACTATTACAAGATTAAAACATGAACTACCATCCAGGTACATGATATATTGGTTTCCCTCGATGATTTGATTAGTTCATTTAACTTAAAATCATCTTAGGACATATCAAACCAATTAACCTGTTAAAATTTATTCTCCAGATATTAGCACACTTTTTATCAGGGCTACCATAAGGAAATCAGTTTGATTAGCATACGTGGTGCGTTTCAGTTGGTTAGCTATTCTTTTTTTTTTTATCTGCGAATCAACTTTTAATTTGTACCAAACTTTGATGTCTACTAACTGAAACAAGAACAACCAAATTAGCTTGAAAAAAATTGAAAACTTTGTTTAATAAAAGAAGGAAACTGAGCATACATCCAGTAACCGAAAACTCATAGAATGTCTAAAAAAAGCTGTTGGTGATTATGTTCTAGAATGCTGGTGCCGAAAATTTTCTTCCAAGAACTTGTTGAGAACGTTTTTCATTAAGGAGAATCAAGAATACAATAACCACAAGCAAAAAAAAAAGAACACAACAAGTAAAATGAACCACCCCCGACCCACAAGGATGATCAATGGCAAACAAGCGCCGAGAGGCCCTTGTACCCTGCCATCATCCATGAGCTAATAGCATCATCTAGGATGATTGGTGCCAGAGCAACCAGCTGCCATCATCTACAATGGCGGTGCCTAAAATTACAAATCAATTTTCCTAAGAGCATAAAAGAAGGGGATAATTAAGAGATGCACATACTCATGCTTTCACAAAATATAAACGTATTAGAACAGGAAAATACAAACTGATGGGACACAAACATATGAGCCATGGAGGCTGAGTACCCATCCTACCAGAAAAGACTAATGTTGTGAATCATATGAGAAATAATCTGCAGGGATTATGCAGGAAGCCTTCGCCCGCGCCCCCTAGACAGGCGAAGGCTCAAGGACGACGGTGAAGGCCCCGAGTGGCGTACTCTCGATGCAGGGCAAAGGCAAAGGCAAAGGCCATCAAGGCGGAGGCGGACAGGAGGACCCAGGAGGCGGCAGGAATAAATGAGGGCCTCCGGCGACTGAAAGGGGATCTCCCATGGTGCATGGATCCTAAATGGCAAATGGGCCTCCAATGGGTGCGGGATAAGGCCCATAGAGCAAGGCGGTTGGTGAAGGAGGAGACCCGAGATGTCCTCGGAGGTTTGCTTATGTATGGGAATATCCCAAGAATATGCTTGTACTGCCTAAAGGCACGATTGTAAATGAACCTCAACATGCACGGTGACCTATAAAAGGGGGGAGTGAACCCTATGTAAAAAGGGAGGTTGTTAAATGCTATTTATGAAACCCTAATTGTGTTTGAGCCCACCTGAGTTCTCATCCTTGCATTGAGCCTTCACCCAAGCGGAGACTCTATCTCTACTCACTCTGATGGGATCCATTATCCCAACACAAACCGACCACTCACTGTATAAGATCATTGTTGGATACCCATTTTTCTCTGGCATTGGGATTGTCTATGCAGCATTATGTAATCACTCAATCTAGTATTCGGAACCAAGTACCTTCAATTTGCACATTCAGAGTTCCAACACACAGAAAACATGTGTGAGCATGCACATGTAAACAACCAACTGAGCATGCACATGTAAAAACACATCCACATACTGACACGTATACATGACAGTGAATCGTGATAAACTAGATAGAGCAATAAAATTTGGAGCAATAACACACATCCACATACAGACACTTACCTGCTGGGTTGGAAGGACTGGAGAAACAAGAGTTATCAATTACTGAGCTGGAGTTTGCAAAGCAAATGATCGTCATCCAGCTGGAGTTTGGGAAGGAAAAATAAGCGCCGATGGTAAGTTATATAGTCAAAGCTAAGGTTTCCATTAATAACTACTGAAAAAAAATTCAATCCAGGCTGCTACCTCTGTGTCGAGATGGTCAGATGAGGAGACCATTTCGTCGGTGTTTGTTCTGATCAGTTGGATAGTCGGATGGTTATGGTGAACCTCGGCTGCATGCCTAAAAGCTGCTTCCACTTTCTCCACCTCACACAGGCTGGCACCCGCACAGTCGATGGAAATAACGGCTTTCTGAAGAAGTCGGTACCACCGTAGGTGGGCGATGAACCAAGCATCAGGCTCATCCTTCGACGAGAGCACACGGTCACATTGTTGAATGTGTTGCTGAAGCTGAGAATTGCAAGGAGCCGAATGCAGTAAACAGGTCAATAAATAGTACCCACGCAAATTAAACGTATTTTTTTAATAGATAGGGACTCACCAGATCCTCGCTTTCTTCGTCAGATAACATATTTCCTTCATGTGCTCGATCCACTTTTATAGTTCGACGGTTGGGATGATTTTCCACCGCACGCGTGACCATGGCCTCCACTTCCTGCACTTCTGCGGCAGTAGCACCCGAGCAGTCGACTGTGACGGTGACTTTCTCAAGTGAAAGGAGGTTATCCAGGCCCAAGTCAAGATCTTCGATTTCATCCTTTGTTGGGAACTGCTCCAACGGCACATCATTTACAAACCCACTCGAATACCCTGCATTAACTCTAAACCGCAGCTCTTCGAGCCTTGGCATGGCGCCCATAGAAAATTTGAGCGTTGTATCCACACGGCAGAACCTCAGATTCCTGAAACCGTCCTTACCAACAGTATACCCTGGAGGGCAGCTGAAACTGACTAGCTCAAGGTAGGTCAGCTCTGGCAATCTCTCCAGGTTATCTAGGTCCTGTTTTTCAATAGTATACACGTCCACAGATAAGGAGCAGAGGCACGGCAGGCTGGAGCGATTGATCCACCGAGGCAGCCGTGACAAAATGATGCAGTGTATAAGCAGTTGACGGAGCTGCCTAGGTGTCTCCCAGTCTTCCCACGCATTGGCTCCCTGTTGCAGTGATCCTGTAGAATGAAGCACTAGTTCTCAGGTTCCTGCAGATTGCAAAGAGATTGCACCAATGCTTTTTGCAAGTTTTCATCTAGTTCCTCGGAAAAGGTGATAGTGGCCACCTCAGCCTCGTCAGCTTCCCAAGCGCTACCACCAGGTCCTCAGTGGCATTCCGACCAACTACGCTGTCTAGCCGTAGGTCCTCAAGGGATGTTAGGCTCCCCATCCTGTCAGCTGGCAACCTTCTAAACCCAATAGCTACCAGGCACATCAGCTGTGTAAGCGAACAAACAGCCGGTGGCAGCTCGTCTAGCCCTGTTTTCTTTAAGTACAGTGTCTGGAGAGACTTCAGATGCCCAAGTTCCTTAGGAAGCTCATCAACAGGTGTGTAAGATGATATCTCTAAGTACTTGAGATGCAACAACTTCCCTATATGCTTTAGGCTAATCGGGACGTAGTAGTTTTCTATATATAGCACACGGCAAACTCTGAAGCTATGAAGTGGGGCCATAACCTCAATCTTACTATCAAAAATGTTAAGTGACCTCATCACCTCTGGCATGTCCATGGTGTCTTCACGGATGCGTTGCACAAGGTGATTTTTGACAGCCAGCCGGCGTACCTTGCTGTCCGAACGAGGAATGCTGGTATTCTTCTCTCTCCTTAAACTGTCTGGAGATGCATGTTGCTCCATGCTTCCCAAAAACGTAACAAAGTTTTCATCTCTCGATAACTTGCTGATGAGATCAAACACAATATCATGAATACGGAACCATTGTGTGAACGGATCATATCTGTCTTTCATCGTTTGGATCATGCTTCTATTGACAAGCTCGTTGAAGTATCTTTCTCCAGCCTCAAATAGGCTGCCGTCCTCTTTCTCAAGATGGACAAAACCTTCACCTATCCACATCCAAATGACACTCTTTTACCAAGGAAATTATCTTCCGGAAATATGCTTAGGTGCAGTAGACATGGTTTTAAATAAGAAGGTAGATCATAGTAGCTATATGAGAGTATCTTCGTTGTATTGTCTCCATTCCCAAAACCAATTGAGTCATAAACCTTTGACCAGTCATCATATGGTCTTTCAACCAATAAACTAGCTATTGCAATGATAGCCAATGGTATGCCGCCACACTTATCTATGATTTTACTAGACAATTCATCTGATACACCATCAACACTTTCTCCTTTATGGCTCTGTATTCTTTTGTAGAATAATTTCTTAGAGTTTCCATGAGAAAGAGGTTTCAGTCTGTAAACCTCTCCTGCTTTTGTGGCAACCTCAAAATTACGAGTAGTCATGATAATTCTACTTCCACAATTATTGTCCTTCAAGGCATATCTGATCGCTTTCCATGATTCAACATCCCATATGTCATCAACAACAATGAAGTACCTATAATTGACACAAGAATGTAGAGTTATGAATAATTTGGCAAATATGTATAGTCTATCCAAATAAGCCTAGACGCACGATAACATCTACATGATTCTAGCAAGTAAACATTGCAACCCACTCCATGGGAGAGGAATATTTGTTAACCAATTTAACCTGTGCTACAACATAAAAATCCAATCTATATAAATTTGGAAATTCCATAGATTTTTCTAGATGTTTGGCCAAAACTGAAACTTTTCATAACTGAAATTCGATTAACATTTCGTCAAAATTGAAATTTTTCCTAACTGATTTCACCGAATGAACCAAATGCCCATGCTTAGGGCTTGGTATAAAATAGGAATGTATACACTGCTCACACTCTACTAGTAAATAAAAAACATTGAACTAAAACCGGACGGTGAATGCCATGGACATACCTCTTATCCGTTAAGAATTCATGCAGTTCGTTTCCAAATTGCTCTATATCCCATCTGGCCATGTCGACTTGCTTATACTTCTTATCGAATTCCACTAATATCTTCTCAAATGTCCTAGTCAGATTAGGAGTCCTACCAACAGAAATAAAAGCAGAACAACCGAATTGCTTCTTAAGCATATCATGCACCGTTTTGGCTAGCGTAGTCTTACCCAATCCTCCAAACCCGACTATAGACACTACCTTTAGGTCCTGATCGAAAGCATGAGCATGAGCATCATCTTTGGTCCCTATATATAGCATCCTGGTGACTCTGTCCTTTGACTCTTCGATGCCAACGAGATCCGACTCTTTCGTGAGAGATTGAGGACACGGGGGTCGATGCTTGTGTGCTTCGCGGCAAGATCAGCTCCCACGCCTCTAACTGTGTACTTGGCACGGAGCTCAGCCAACTCGTTGGAGAGCTTCTTTATGTCTTTGACCTTGTCGGAGATCTGGTGGCGATGCTTGACCTTCTTCATTGCGGCGGTGGCCTTGCCAAGGATCTTCTTGAAGACGTTGGCGTCGGTGGCGATTGCAGGACTTGCCACCATTAGCCACGCGTGCGGATGAAGTCATCGACGGTGTCCTCCATGTCATACGACAGCTCCCGGACCGCTGCGTGCCCAGAGCTTTTCCACCTCGGTGAGCTGGTCCGGTGGTACCCGAGACGAGTCCTCCAGAGAGGCTTTCATCATCACAAGCTCCTTGGAGAGGGACTCGATGTCGGGCTTGAGGCCTTTCTGCACGACGTACTCCGCCGTGAGCAGCTCGCCCAGCTTGGGGGCCAGGACGGCCATGGCCCCGAGGCGAGCTCCATGCTCAGCTCGACCGCTCAGTGGAGTGGGCACGGACGCTTTGATGGGGCCGCGGCGCCGGCGCGCATACGCGTCTCCCACTGCTCGACGTTTTCCGTGGTCTCGCGGAGTGGGCACGGACGCGGGTACACACTTGTGGCAAGATAACGCGGCAATGGCCAATGGAAAGAAAGAAAAAAAGGAGCTGCTTTGGCGCGAATCTGGAGTCTGGACCAATTCTGAGGGCCGAGGTGCTGAGCCGATGTGACAGGAGTGGACAGACGAGACGAGTCTCAATACGATCTCAATATGACGTACGTAGAACGTCATGTTACAGTGCGCGGAAGGTCAACCCGAAACCGGCTCCTATTCGGATTCGGGGTCTCTCTATGCAAGTCGTCGGACGCCAAGGTTTGCTGAAGCAGATTGAAACCGGGTGAGTCCCCGTCAACGTCAACTCCTTGCATGTGACGACTGACGACTGACGCGTGACAAAGGACCACACAATGCATGCCAGACGTGGTGGACACGGTCCTTGTGATGTGCGCTGTCTCCTACCACCGCTTGACAAATCACCAATCACGCGTCGCTGTCACATGGTGGTACCGTATTCTGGACGCAAGTGAACGCCGTCGGCACGGACGTCTATGAATTCATTAATTACTCGCTCGTACAGTACCTATCTAGTAGCTATTTGGCCCGTTACTTGGAAAAAAAAATTAGGAGAGATAGTCATTAGCGATGAACAAATAACCAATCTATTATACGTAGTCTAAAAATACGAGAGAGGAATATATGGATCCAATAGTACATAGAAAAATGAGAATGTACTCAGTATAAAATAGTCTTTGTTTTTGTCTCTCATCGTCACATAAGCTGGCTAGGTAGCTAGCACCATTGCGGACGCCCTAAATGTCGTGGTGTAATTAAGACTTGGTTAAACTCGAAGAAAATTTGATTAAGTTTGTAGAAAATTTATTAGAAACATTTGTATCTATAAGTAAATTTGGTATAAAAATAGATTAAATCGACCTATCCATTTTACACCCACGTTGTGTTCCTCGTGCCACCACCTCGCCACCCCCCCCTTCCTCGCTCACGCCCCTGGCCAATTGCTCCCTCAACGCCGACCAGCACCCCTCGCGCCGCTCGAGCCCACCCCCTAAACACAGGGGTCTTGGCCGGCGACGTCCTCCTCGTCCTCGCCCCACTCCCGCTTCTCGACCCGCCATCCCCCCCTAATCTTAGGCGGGGACACCCGTTTTGTTTTTTTTTTTTAATTTTAATTTTGTAAATTTATGTTTCATGAATCACCAATGAGCAGTAAGGATGAAAACAATTAGGAAAATGTCTTAACCATTCCGCTCCCCGATTTTTGCCGGGGCAGGGAAAGGGAAGGCGGGATGGGAAAAGCGAATCCGGTATTACGGTATATCGAACGGAATATTTCGAGCGGGGCGATGTCGATTACGATCGGGAAGCGGTAACACAAAAACGAGAACATCGATATATGTAACCACTTGAAATAGTGAGCTCGATGCAACAATAGCAACCATGCATAATCCTTATGCAAACAATAGCAACTAGTGAGCTCGTCAGAATATTTATGCAAATAAAACTACAGAACTACCAAAAAAAAGAAAATGGAAAAGAAAAATGAACAAAGGGCCAAACCTTGCTGCTCCTAGAGATCTACAAAGGAAAACAATAGATGGGGAATAAAAGAAACAAAAAAAAGTTAAAACCAGCGCATCAGCTCGTTTGTCCCTGGCTCTTTTCTGGCACGCATGCACAAGGCACTAAGGTAGGCATGCCGCAAGCAGCAGCAGTGCACAGAGGCACTGCAGCACACTGCACACCACACTCCCGCACTCAGCAAGCATTAGTCCCACCTCGCCCTTTGAATCAGCACTGGCACGGAGGTAAGTTATAAATGAAGCCAGGCTAGTGGACAGGAAGCGACTCATCCTTGGGCCGGAGTTGCGGACTAGCGGGCTGTTGGGCTGGGCGCCTGCAAACACGGGAATACCGTCGGGATTTTTCCCGTTAAAATCCGGTAACCGTGGATTCGGTCGGGAAAATAGCTCGCCCGATTCCGATCCCGGTTCCGCCCGTTTTCCTGAATAATTTTCCCGTTTCCGAATTTTCCTGTAATTACGGTATACGGTCAGGGCACCTGTGTTCGGAGCATCCCCTGCGCCTGCCTTCCATTTCCTCGTGAGGGAGTTTGGACTCGCAAGCTCCTGCCTCTTCCGATACGTTCAGCGTGAGCACGTGTGCCGGCCGGGGCGGTTCCCCGCTAGCTGCTCCTGCCCGCATGAGGGTGTCCGCCGCCTCTCTGATGGACGCGGCCATCGCGACGGTTGCGTCCTGGACGCCACCGCAGGCGCTGCTGGCGAGGCGGCGCCACCATATGAACGCATGGCCGCCACACCCCCCATCCTCTACGGCGACGAAAAGCATATGCGGTGGACGTTAGGGAGAGTCCGCGATGACTCCACTCCACGGCAGGCTCTCAGAAAAGACGAAAACACCTGCTATGTTAGGAAACTGGAAAGGAAAATAAGTAGGTTCTAATTAATGACTATTTCATTACTTTGTGGTAATTTTTCTTGGCCGATGGCTGCGTTTTGCAATAACAAAATGCGCAAACATGTGCTTTCAGACAAAGTTCATAGCAAAACCATTGTTTTATACAAGATTCAGCACAGAGCATTAGATTTATTTAGAGCAGAGACAAATCAGAGCAGGCTGCTGTACGCAACGTATTCTAGGAGTTCCTGAGTTTCTCAAGCTATCAGAACAAACAAAGTACATCAGCCTAAGACATATCCATAAATAAACTCCATTAATTTTTCGAATGCTAGATACATCAGCCTTCAACCAATCATGTACATCTCCGCCGACCAGCTCTCAGCATCTCGATCGCATATGAATAAGCTCGACAAGCCTTCTCGCTCAAGTTCCCAACGCACTGAGCCATATTACAATCAATTAGAAAATGCTCTGTTCCCGGCCTATTCCACGCCTAGAGCCTGTAATGTTTTTTTTTTTTTTTTTGGCCCAAACCAAGCAAAGCCTAATAGGCATGTCACACTGTGATCCAATGGGGGATTTTTGGGGAGCGATGATGATAGTCCCCCATTTGATTTCCCTTGCGAGAAGGAACACCACACTACACTAGCACTAGCACAGACACAGTGCTCTGGCTCAATATCTGACAGGGATGGTCCATGTTGCATTGGATCCTCTTCCTCTACCTCTACCATGTGCTGCTTTTAATTGGCAAGTGCTAGTCCATACATAATTGGTGGTGAACATTTGATCGATCGGAACTTCAGAATCTCACTCAGGCTGTTGTCTGACCTTCTCCGTCTCCAACAAGCAAGAAAAACACTACTAGTGAAATTCTCGTCTCCACCTCGGATTTTCTAAACACAAGGCTGCTTTGCCAAAAAAAAATTCATATACAGACCTTGTTGTGACATGCATTCTTGAAACATATGAAACAACCAGGATGAGACACTTTTGTGAATGTAAGTATGAAACACTTAAAACATATGCTTGCAACATGCATGTATATACAACATTCGTGATGAAAACACTTGCAACATACGTCGTCTACGTCTGATGAAACATTTCGAACATACATTTGAAACATACGTGTATAGCCACTGCAACATGTGCAACACTCAGATCTACTTTTGCAACATCCTAATCTACTTTTGCAACGTCGATAAAAAACACTTGCAACATACCTATGAAATCAAACATTTTTAAGTTTAACTTAAAAATATGAATGATTTTTTTTATTCCTCATTACCGGGTAGTAGTGCTGTTACCCGATGGTGCTATTACCTGTTTTCTTTTCTTCTTCCCAATGTATCTTACTAGTCGTAAGGCCTTACTACCCTCTTCTTACCCCTCCATTGCGGAGACCCCAACGAGGAATCAAACATTTTTAAGTTTGACTAGAAATATATAAAATAGTATTAACATTTATATCTCCAAATAAGTATATATATTATATAAAAATATATTACATGCTCAACCCAATGATGCTTATTATACATTATGAATATGAATTTATTTTTCTATATATTTAGTTGAACTTTAAAATTTTACTTATCAGTAAACGATACGTGTGTTTATTTTGTGACGGAGGAGTACCGCTCATGTGGACTGAATGCAACCACGAGTCAGCACCCGTTCAGAGTTTAGACGGACCTTTTTCGGTGCCCTCGCTGTGGCAGTCGTGACTCGCGAGCGCGGGCTTCGAGCAGTCAGGTCTTGCGCTTGGAGCTGGATGAATCAAAGTTGAGAAAATTCCTTATTTAGCATCATAAAATGATGCAACTCCCTATTTAGCACCAAAAAAGTTTCCTAATATAGCACTCACTTTATTTTAACTTGATGGGGAAAAAGACCACTTTGCTCCTATTTTTTCATGTGTAACACCAACAGCACATTAAAGTGATTTTATTAACTGATTTTTAACAGTGCCATTTTTAACATTGAATATATTTTACGGATACATTTTCTTACATTGAGCATTTTTGCAGTACTATTTCTTTGTACAGATTATTTATGAATTATGACAGCACAATTTTTGGACAACGTGCTACACATGAAAACATGGGCAAAACAGTCTTTCCCCCTCCAAGTTAATGGTTTTAGATGTCAGATCTAACGGCAGCCAATGTTATATTAGGAAACTTTTAGCTTTCGTACCAAATAAGGAATTGCATCATTTTCCAATGCTAATTAAGAAATTTCTCATCAAAGTCTTCACCAACACTTTAGTGGCACCAAATATGGCGCGTCGTGTTGGCTCTGTAGATTCACACTCTCCCTTTCATCTTGGGATTAAGGACCGTGTATACCATTGCCACGATCCCAATTGATTTATTTAGTTAAACTCAAAACTATTTAACTCTTGAAAGCAAGAAGTATATTCCCTCCGTACTCAAAAATAAAGTCGTTTTGGATAAGGCTTGGGTCAA